AAAAAGAAACTGAATATAAATAATCTATGTTATATGTAAAAGTAGTAATATCTTTGCAAAAATTATGAGACTATAGGTAGCAGTAGTGCATATACAAAAATTTTTAAAGACTAGCAGATATTGAGATAAAATTTGTCATTCAAAATCACGAATTAGTTGTATCTCATTTATTTATGTATATATAGGTAGTAAACACAAGAAAACTTCCAATTATTCAAGACAAATACATTCAATAAAATGACCATACCTATTATAATTATAATTTAATTAAATCAATACTAAATAAGTGCAATGAAAAATATTGTTTTCCTTTATTTTGATTGATAATTTATTGATCAGCAAACATGATTTTCATCAGTAGTGTATTTTTATAGTGTACTAAGTTCAATGACAATTGAAGTTTAGTTTATAAATTCCATCCCAAAAATTATTGAAAATTCCATCGATATTAATTTAAGTATTTATAATAATTAAAATATTTTAATCTCGGTTATTTAAATTAAACAATTTTAGTTCCCGTACGATTGTTATTGTTGAACTATTGAAAAATTATATATTATTATTGAATACCTATAATTTAAGAAAAGTATTTGTATACATAGAAAAAATATACTTAATTAAAGAAATTATCAATATTTAAAAAATCAACTATTATATAATAAAATATACCTCAATAACTAATCTTGAGTAAGTCAATTAAATATTTCAAATTTAAACTTAACTTTGATAGTTATTCTCACAATCTAAAAATAACTAAGGGTAACAAAAATAAATTCTCAACATAAATAATTTTATTCTAATAAATTAGAATAAAAAAAAAAAAAACAAATTTTTTAACAAAAATATTTTGTTGCAAGTATAAATTAATAATATTTTGAACATAGGTTTGATGTATATTATACACAAATACATTTATACATAAAAATTTGGACACAAATAAAACAAGTTGGTATTGGTATTAATAAATAATATAAACAAGTTAAAATATAATTTCATCAATATGTCTTAATAAATGCACACTTATATGAAAAATATTGCTCCTTAATGAATAACTCATAAATAATAGTAAATAATTAACATTTAGAAGATAATTATTATCACAAACATTTCATCACCAAATTGCATAAACACGTGTTTTGTGTTTACTGATGTTGGTATTATACTACTTATTTAATTTTTGTCATTTTCAGCCAATACAGGATAAGCTAACGTAGTAGTCAGAGAATCGTTATGTTCTTCTAAGGAAGTTTGAGAATAATGCAAGACTAGATCTTTCAGAGAAGAATATATATTGTAGGGTTCAGCAAATCCAAATCCTTTAGGAGTTCTGTACACTATACAATGATTAACAACACTATTGCAGACTATAGACAACGCTGATTGCCCTGTACGACTAGGCCGTATCAAAAAAGTTCCATCACGTTTGCCAGTTAACAAACGTTCAGCCTCAGCACGTGAGCAAGATTGTAGCAGCCATGTACTCTCATCTAAATGAGCAATATTCAGTGGCAGTACAATATCTTCAGGTTTACAAGTCCACCAATCAGTACCATTCAATAATTGATCAATAGCGTCTTCACCCACACCATGGGTAATTAACCACCGAACTGATTTATCTTTATGACGCGTCAGTGTAGTAATTTCCTGTTTTACCTGATACATTTGACGCTCCAAAGTTTGACTAAAGGACACTTGTCTGAAAACACATAATTAAATTTAATACAGTACACAGTTGTAAATTATTTGATAACTAAACAGTAATCACCTGTATAAATTGTCCTCAAGACTTGCTTTACCATCACGTAAATACTGCATTCGTTCTCTTACTATTCCAATATTTTCAACTAGATTATCAGCTTCATGTCGTTCAGCTTCTTTAAGAAATTTATCATGTACTTTTAACTGTTCGTCAAACATTTTATTCACCTCGTGATATTGTTGCAATCCTATGCGCATGGCTGCAATATCAGCCATTGAATTCTGAAATTTAATTGACAAGCTGTCATAATATTTTGATTTAAACATAACTTCTCTAAGAAGATCAATTAAACGCAACCATACTGCGTCTACATTTAAACTAGTCCAGGTACCAAAATCTTCATCTTGATGAAATCTAGATACAGGATTTAACAATTTAACATCTAATGTTGCATTATATTGTGATAAAGAAACCTTCCGATAATGGTTTACAAGATCAATAACAGAAGAAAAATTATAAGGTTCTGAAAACCCGTATTTTTCATTTTTGTTATAGATTTTAATTAATTTATTGGTTCCTCCTTTTCTAAGAGTCAGTGTATATTCTCCTTCTTTATTTGATGCATTTCGTACAAGAAATGTACCGTCAGGTGTATCTGTAAGTTTTTCTTGTACTTCATCTCTAGTTATATCACCCCAATACCATTCTGCTTCTTCTATGCAACTAGGTTCTTGCAATGGAATTTGCAATCTGTTCACTATTGATTCAGTAGATTGAGGGCGATTGGTTTGTGATAGTTTACGAGGGGGTAAAGCTGGTGCGACAGTTGGAGACATAACGCTCCATGACTCTTGTGTTTTTACCATTATCTATTACAATCAAGTGTCAACGAACGGCAGGATCTCTGCAAGAAAAAGAAAAAACAAATTAATAAATAGTGAAAATGATCAGAATTTCTTTTTTTAAATGTACGTAATTCATAATATTATAGATATTAATTTTATAGCAAAAAAAAATTAAAAAAATTATCCTGTAATCACAGTCTTAATATAATATGATTAAAAATCACCTAATTTACTTTAATTAAATGTTTAGTTTTAGTTTAATCAACACTTACCAGGAGCGTTTATGCTTATTACATCGGCGTTAAATTGAATGACTTTCATTATTTTTTATTTTTTTTTCAAAATGTAATATAAAAATTGAAATTTCCATCAAATTCTAGAAAATTACACATGAAAAAAAAATATATTTTTTAGTAATATTTTTCGGCAATTTACATTCACACACACTTTTTAAGAAA